TTTTTATAATGTAAAGCAGTTTTTGATTTATCTTTCTTTGTTCCAAATCCAATTTTATAACATCCAGCAAGACCATTTTCAGCATTCACACTTCCACCTTCGACAGCTTTTTTATACCACATAAAACTTAAATCTTCATTTCTTGGAGCTCCAAAACCATAATTATAACAATCAGCAAGTAAATCTTGAGCTATTGAATAGTCCATTTTTGCAGCACTAAGAAATAAACTAAAACATTTTTTTAAATCTTCTTCAGTTCCGATCGCATCAAAATAAAAATAACCAAGTAATGTTATGTATTGCGGAGTATTTTGATTATTTAATAACCAATCATAAATTTGAAAAGGTTGACGTTTATTATCAATTATAAAATCGTTAATAAATCGAGATATAAATTCATCTTGATGTCCTCGTTCTTTCATATCAACAAAATTTTCTATTAACTCATCAACTACTCTTCGAATTGCGTCACTTTCATCTCGACTAATCTGTGGCAATGGACTTTGACTTCTTAAATAATTTGATCTTGGAGAAGGACTTGGACATCTGGATCTTGGAGAAGGACTTGGACATCTGGATCTTGGAGAGGGACTTGGACATCTCGATAAACTCCTAGACGATCTTGGAACTTCAAGTGTTGCTGATGTTGCCATTATTATGTTAATATTTTTTTGTTAATATTTTTAAATGGCTTGAAAAGAATGTGTTGGCGTTAGAAAAATAATTTTTTTATTATATGCACGGTTAATATTTATGTATAATATAGATTAATATAGATAAATGTAAGTTATTCTATTTTTTAATCTTTTCATAAAAAATGTTATTTTTACAAGTATATATTTGTATATAATTTTTTTTTTAACTCTGGTGATAAAGAAAATAAGAAAAGAAGAAGAGTGTGGTCTAAACTGATGTGTTTTTTCGCTATACTTTTTATGTAGTACATGTACATACTGTCAATGAAATATTATACTATTATTTGATTCTAAAGTAAGATAATTATAGGTCATATTGCGTTATTACTAAAAAGTATCATTATATACATTTTATAAATAGAACCTGCACCTGTACTTGCCACGCGGTAACATTATTGGCGCGGTGTACCATTATTGTTGCATGTGTAACAAACCCGCGCAATATTGTTGCATGTGTAACAAACTCGCGCAATATTGTTGCATGTGTAACAAACTCGCGCAAGGGTGTGATGCAATGGCCTGAGCAAAAGTCACATGTAGAAAAAACGTTTACATACTTTACATATTTTTTACATAACAGACATACATTACGTATATTCTAACCTGTATGTACTGTATGTATGTACGCACATACTTACATAAAATTGTCATGTTTTTTTTCTTTCATTTGCGCTAAAAATTTTTAACATTTTCCGCGCTTTCCAAAGTTGCATTAATACATAAAAGTTTTAGATTTTAAACCTAGCGTTAGTGTTAACCTAGTGTCACTTCCGGTGTTAACCTTGTGTCACTTCCGGTGTTAACCTTGTGTCACTTCCGGTGTTAACCTTAAATATCAATACAGTAATCAATACAGTAATCACCACAATACCCTTTTTAGTAATTTTTTATGATGGCTTTCATATACAATTTATACATGATATAGATATGATATACATCTATGATATATATATATCGATATGATATATGATATATATATATCGACATGATGCAAATCGATACAAAAGTTGCTGACTTAACATTTTAGTTTTATCTTAAATTTACACCAGATACTAAAAAAAATTCCGATATTCTGTTATTTTAATATCCGTCATTTGTGTCACCTAACACACGGGGGTTCAGGGTTAAATACCAATAGTAATATTCCCTTTTCCATACTGTATAAAACTAAGAATCATAATTTTTTGACAAATATTTTATTTTAGACAAAATGAGATCAATTTTATTTTATCAAGCAATACAAAAATAAAACTCGTTATTAAACCCCTGAACTTTTACACCAATAAACAAGTTATAAAATCCATTTTAATTAATACACTTAATCCATTTCACATAATTTCACATCAAGGATGTTTTTTTTTTTCCTCGCAAAATTTTACATTTTACACTAAAATGATTCTTATCAACATATAAATAGCTTACATGAATATGTATATATTTATAACAATAGAACTACTACGTAATACTAATACCTAATACCTAATCTCTGATAAGAAATAACAAAAATGGCAAAAATAAAAAGTTATATTTGTTATATTTTGTAAATAAGTTTTGTAAAAATTCATGAAGACGGATTTATCTATACAAAGAATTGAAAAAAATGACAAAAATGAAAAAAATGGTATTAGCTAATGCAGCAATGCAGTAATGTTGATGTATGATGCAGTATTATCACATCATCTCTTACGTACCGAAAAAGTCTTTTATAATTAGTTATTACCCAGAATTTGTAGTTTTTGCTAATAATTCTTGTAATGGTGCTTCTGCATCACTGTTTCCGGATTCTTTAGCCTTTCTATACCAATAAATTGCTTGTTCTAAATCCTTAGTTGTTCCTGTTCCTTGTTCATAACATTGTGCCAACATAAACATTGCTGACCTATTTTCTTTTTTTTGATGATCTTTTGTATAATTGAAATGCTTTGATAATGCTCTTGGATGTTCCAATTCCTGCTTCATAACAATATCCAAGTCCAAACTGTCCATCAACACTACCATTTTGTGATGCTTTTTGATACCACATAAAACTTAAATCTTCATTTTTGGTGGTTCCAAGTCCAAATGCATAACAATCTGCAACTAAATCTTGCGCTACGAAAAAATCCATTTTCGCTGCTGAAAGAAATAATGAAAATCCTTTTCTTTGATCTATAGGAACTCCTATTTCTTGAAAATAAAAAAATCCAAGTAAAGTTACGTATTGTGCTGTATTTTGATTACTTGATAACCATAAAAATATTTGTTCTGGTTCATGGTTTTTCATTCTTATTTCTTCTTCGATACAATCGGATACTGCTGAAAAATTATATCCTTTTTCTCTTATTCTTATAAACATATTGGCTATGGCGTCTACATATGGTCTTAAAGCGTCTTTTTCATCTCGATTACCTCCAACTGAAGATGGACTTGTACTTCTTACACTTCTGCTACTTCTTACACTTTTTACGGAACTTGCCGCAGATCTTGAACTTGCCGCAGATCTCGGTCTTGGAAGGTGAAGCGTTGAAGCCATTTTCTATCAAATTATTAAAATTATTATTTATTATTTATTTATTATGTTTCCTTTTTTTCTTTCTTTTTATAATCAAATGGATCGATAATTATCAAAAAAAATTTTTTTTTTTACAATTTGAGCGTAATTAGGAAAAAAATATTTTTAAAAACAAAGGTTTAAGTGGTAAATAATCCGATGTATTTTTTTTACCGATATACACAGTATATTTATATTATTAGGAATTTTTCAACTAAGAAATTCTCAATTCCAAGTTTGCAACACAATTTTCGGTTCTTTCTTTATTTGGTTGTAAATATATATATTTTTTATTAATGTATTGGATTTAAAATATATTACTCATAAAATATTTCTTTTTTGTGTAATCTCTTCTAGAAGTCTCTATTTGGTTACGGATGTATATTTCCGTAACGTCAAAAAAAATCATCAATCAATGTCACGTTTTTAGCCAAGTATTATGTATATATAAATAATAGTATAATATATATAATATATATCTTTGTAGCTATATAGTGTAATGGTGATCATCGGATAATCCTTGCGTAACTATAAAATAGCATTAAGCTCCGGATAACAAAAGTTTCTTCGAATTCGTCAACTTTTGTTTCTTTCTTTTGTAAGTAATGTCTAAACGCCAGTATTCAGATCGGTCCTCGTCACCTGCGAATGTTTCAAGAAAATTGACTTGCCCACATATCGAAAGATATTCTAAGCAAGGTTCGCCGGTAGCAAAGATTGAATCTTCTACTTTCAAGGTTATATATATATTATTGAAATTCTTTGTAAAGTATTATGATTCTACTATTATTAAAGTTTTATATTATGTTTTCAGAGACAGCTCTCTAATTCAACACTTTGTTGTGACTGGTGTGAGACTAGAATCCCAAGAGTTTGGATTTGTCTATATGTAAGTTGTGAAATTCAACCCTTTTTTTTTTCCATTGAATGTTTCACCAACTGTTTTTTATTTTTTTATTTAACCAATTGATTGCAATTGAATGATCTTTTTAATTAACTAGAGTCGATGTCGCACTGTTGTTTGTAGTAGTAATAGTTCCAGGTCTCATATGCGTGACCATTATGAGTCTACATACAAGGTAATTTAAAAACATGAAACTTTTACAAATTAAATTAGATTATCTTGCTTTCAATCTAATAAAACCTTGATCTAATATACAGAAAAATAAACCTGAATCTATTCATGCTGTATATGTTAATCCACGTACCTTAGATATATGGTGTTATAGTTGTTCGATTGCATTAAATCCATTTAGTAAAGATCAAGAATTCTCTCAGGATACGCGAGATTACTTGAAAACTGTTGTGAGATGCCTGGTATTTTTTTAGTTCATAAATTATTATTATCTTTATTGTTTTTATTCATTTGATTTTTTTTTTAAAAAATAAAGTTGAAATACTTTGTCAGTAGCAGGTCAAACGAAATAAATCACAACATTCAATCGATCAATTTACAATTGATGTTCCTGGTATGTACATTATACTTATTATTCTTTATTATATGCTATTTGTTTTATATCATATCTAAAAAAAAAAAAAAATTCTTTTATCATAATTTTTAAGGTCTGGTTGGATTAAAAAATTTGGGAAATACCTGTTATGCAAGGTTCGTTATCAAAGTTTATCCTATGAAATGTTTTTTATTCACAATATGTTAACATTGTAATATTTTCATTTATTTTGGATTTATGTTAACAATGTAATCTTCATTTATTTTTGATTTATGTTTGATTTATGTTAACATTGTAATATTTTCATTTATTTTTCATTTATTTTTGATTTATGTTTGATTTATGTTAACATTGTAATCTTCATTTATGTTTCATTTGCAGTGCTGCTCTCCAATGTTTATCTAATACGTGAGTTTTTTTTATTCTAATACCTGTTTTATCAATTATAATAAATTATTAGTTCTTCTTTATTTGTTCTTAGGCCAGCATTGATAAATTATTTCAGTTATTGCAATGCATATATTCCACGAAGTCTTAATATTCATACAAAGAATTCCAAGTATCGGTTGGCTGATCATTTTAGTCAATTCGTAGAAGCTATGTGGAGTGGTACCAGGTTGATTATCTTGGAAATTGTTAAATTATGAAAATTATGTTTCGTAAAGTGTTTGTAATATTAGTGATTTTATTTTTTATAGTCCGATTTTTGCTCCAATTCGATTGATTAGTGAGATCAAAAAGCATAATGAAACTTTCAGAGGTCATTCACAAGAGGTATTCATGATTTATTGTAACTTTCCTTAATTTTTTAATTAAGTTAACCTCCGACTCCTTTTAAATTTTTTAACTTCATTAAATATCATTGAATATAGGATTCCGCGGAATTTCTTCGTGTTATTTTGGATAAACTTCATGAAGAACTGCCGTATCCACAAAATGTGCTAAATCATACACAAACAAATGGCAACACTAACAATCATGTTCATGTAAATTATTCTCCATCAATGGATGCTGGTGTTAATTCCATGATGGATGATCATTATGCATGTGGAATTTCTTCTTCAACATCTTCGACATCTTCGATTACTACTTCAAAAAATTATGAAGCGTTTCAAAGACGTAACTCTTCATCAATTAGTATAATTAGTGACATATTTCAAGATGTTTTTGAAAGCAAAATTAAATGCCTTCATTGTATGAAGGTAAATCTCTTACTTTAGTTCAACATTTATTTATATTTATATGTATTGTAATGATTATGCATATGCTTAGGAGTCTATAAAAGAAGAATACTTTTATGTTCTTCCGATTCAGATTGATAAAAAATATAAACTTAAATCACAAGAAAAAAATTTAAATGGTGCTTTAAATACATTTATAGGTTCTATGGGTGATTTTTTAGGGTGAGTTATTTTTAATATTACCAAATAATTTATTAAAGGTTGATATTTATTTGATATTCATTGGTAATCATTTTGTTCGGATATACATATCAGTATTGGTGGAAGAACAGTAAAATTACAAGATTGCCTCGCTGCATTCTGTGCCACAGAAAATCTTACTGGTGAAGACAGGTACAGATGCGATGGATGTAGATCCTTGAATGATTGTCAAAAAACGTTAAGAATTACGCGGTTACCAGAGGTTCTTAAATTTACTGGTTATAAAATATTAAATGTGTTGTTAAAATTTAATTTTATTAAATATGTTGTTAAAATAATTGTTAAATAACTTGTGTATTTTTATTATAGTCACTTTGTATACAAATTAAACGGTTTCGTTTTGAATCTTATTTTTCATCAAAAATTGCCATGCATGTTCAATTTCCAATGGAAGGTTTGGATATGAGACCTTATTGTAAAGAAACAAAAGAATCATCTAATAATTCAAAATATAATTTATATGGATTAATTCACCATCGTGGTATTATTGGAGGTGGGATAATGAATTTTATTTTCATGAGTAATGATAAATTCGACAAATTAAGCTCAAATGAATTTGTATTGATTCCTAAAGGTGGTCATTATGTTGCTTATGTTAAGAATCCTATTGATGACAATTGGTATGAATTTGATGATACGGTAAGAGATCATAATGTATTATTAATCAATAGTTTTTTTTTTTTTGTAAATCATTAATAATAATTAAAATGTAATTATGTATGTGATTCTAGTATGTTACAAAAAAGACTGCAGCTGAGATATCTCGATTAGAAGCATATGTGTTATTCTATAAAAAGACATGTCCCGAGAAAGAACAGGAAAGGCAAGATATCCTTTCGCAAATAAGTGATGTGTGTATATCATTATATTTTCATAGAAGAAATTGGTTTATCTTTCGTTGACCTGACTTGATATGTGATGTGTTGCTATCTATCGTTAGTCTTCATCTGAAACGCATTTATTCATTTCTCGACTATGGTTTAATAGATGGCAATTTATGACGACGGTAATTGTTCTTTATAATATTGTAAATTTGTCTATATGATTTAATTTATTTATTTATTAACATTTTATTTATTTATTTTAAGCCCGGTCCGATAACTAATTATGATTTCATGTGTTCACATGGAGGTAACAAAATTTCTAACATCTTCAATTCGTGTTAAGATATGGGTAATATATTTACAATTGAATTCTAGGTGTTAAATGGAGACTTTATCATAAGCTTAATGATATGGTTGTAAAAATACCGTTCAGTGTTTATACCCAATTAATGGAAAAATATGGTATAGATGGAAGTCCACCTTTCCATGCAGATGATTACGGGCGAGCTGGATGTCAAATATGCGAGGTAGTGTTGAAAGTCATTTTAAAAATAAATGCGTGCAAGAATACGCATAATAAATAAGTAGTATTATTATAAAATAACAGCAGGAAGAAAGAATGTTAGACCAAAGGCGTCGTAAAGAAGCTCGTGATATTAATCAAATAGATACTAACGTATTACGCCATGGTGAATACTGGTATTTAATAAGCAACTCTTGGCTTGAAAGTTGGCATAACTTCAAGAAAGGAGGTAATATAATTGTTAAAAAAAATTTTTTTTTTTTTGAATAAATACAGCGTTATATAAATGGAGTTCCAATCCAGTTAAATCCGTCATCCATTTATCCGTATCTGATTATTCAGATCGGATAAACAGATCAAATATTCGGATAATCTGACAGATACCAATAGTAAATGGATATCCGGATAAATTTAGATCGGATACTTTGAATAACGGATAACGAATTCGAATATCTGATAATTATCTGGATAAACAGATAATGGATTGGAACTCTACATATAAAAGGATATAGCGCGGACCACCGTACCCTGTTAAAAAATTTCATGGTGAATGGGGATATATTCTATGTAAAAAAAAAAAAACTTTTATATGAAAAATCGCTTAGTACAGACCCCGGCACTATACAAATTTTGTCTGTAGAATGTATTGTACTCGAGTACCGTGGTCCGCGCTATACAGTATTAATGAATATTATTAATTGTATTTATTTGTATATGTATATATCAGGTCCATTACCTGGTGCAATTGATAACACAACATTCCTTCAGGAAGATGGAAGACCAAAACCCGGTATGAAAAGAGGTTAGTACTTGTAATCTTATATAACTTTGAATCTAGAGTTCCAATCCGGATAAATCGGTCATCCATTTATCCGTATCTGAATTATCCAAATAATCCAGATCGGATAATCTGACAAATATTTAGATAATTATTCGGATATCAATAGTAAACTAATATCCGAATAATAGATAACGGATATCTGATAATTATCCGGATATAAACACTTAATGGATTGGAACTCAATTTGAATTTACAAATTATTTTACACTAATTTATTTTGCAATATTTATATAGCAATCGATTATAGAGCAGTGAACGCTAATGTTTGGAATTATTTTGTACATGCTTATGGGGGTGGTCCTATATGTATTCGGGGTAATTTATTACCTTTTAAATAGACTATTTTAAATAAAATAACCAAATTTGACTTTATTTTTATTTAACGTAATAGGCGCAATCGATCTTTACTCTTCACCTTATTCGTTATATTATAACGAAAACTAAGTTGATATCGTGTTATGATCTAAATTATAAAAAAGAGTTTGAAGTTTAAGCTCTGTCAATTAGATTGAAATTTTTAAAACAATATATAAAGCATCTGCTTTATTAAATACAATAAAACTTTCTGAACATTTTTTATTTATTTACATTTTGTATGGACATTAAACGTAATGAATTACTTTTATTCTAACTTTTTTGATAAAATTTTTAAATTATCATGTTCTTGTTTATTAGAAAAAAAAAATGGTATTCGCATATATTTTTAAAAACTTTGTGCAATAAGTTTTTCAAAGCTATATTTATTACAAGTGATTTGAGACATAAGTTTTATTTAATGTTATGATACAATCACCTAAATAAATATTTATATATGCTTTTTAGAATATTTTGAATTTGTTAGAATAATACATATGACAAAAACCTATCTGTATAAACAAAAACGGGAGTGCCTCTTTAACGAGAATCCATTAATACATAACAATAATATTATCGATTAATGATTTTACATGCTAAAATTATAAATAATATAACGTCCATTTACAAAATTTTTACGTGCTAATTTTCTTCTGAGTATAAACTTAAATAAGCTTAAATAAATTATCTATAAATAGTTCAAAAAAATTTTTTAAAAAAATAAGGCTATTAACAAAAAGGCTTCAAAAATATGAGTTCTTTTTTCTTTTTTCAATTTCCATCACCCTATCTTCTTCTGGATCCATATGGATCATTCTCATCAAATGAATCATCACGAGTAATTTTACGATCACTTATTGTACGAAGTATTTCTTCATTAGGTGTATATGCTGGAGGCGGATCAGTAGTAGGAAGCGTGTCATATTCATCCTCATTCTCATCTTCTTCTTCAAGGTCTTCTTCAAGTTCTTCTTCAAGTTCTTCTCTGAATCCCCTCGGATTTTCCGCCGGTAACTCCGGTAATGCTCGTCGGACTTGCGATGGTGGTGGCTTAGTCCCTAAAGGAGGTAACGGTGGTGACTGTTCGTCGTCAACCGGATCTGTCGCCCGATTAACGGACGTTTGTGAACCTTGAGAAGAAACCGATGTTTGCGAACTTCGAGAACGAACGCTAGTTGGTCTCTGATTGTTGGATCGTGGAATTGGTCGTGAACCCGGTCGTGGATTCGGTCGTTGATTCGGCTGATTCGGTCGTTGATTCGGTCGTTGATTCGGTCGTTGATTCGGCCGTTGATTCGGTGGTGAACGAATAGGTCGACCATTGGTTAATAAATCTTCATACTCTTCTTCTTCTTCTTGATACTCATTATCTTGATACTCATCATCTTGGTACTCAGCATCATCATCTTGGTACTCA